CGGTCACCATACGGAAACCAAGCTTTTACCATAAGAGCGCCATACGATTACCACGGGCCAGCCATGCGATTACCATAGAGACAAGCATACGGCTACCATGGGAAAGCCATACCATAGAACAGCTAAACGGTGACCAGTGCGCAACCACACGCATGCCGGAGGGAGACCATGCAATTACCATGGGAAAGCCATACGAAGACCATACGAAAGCCCAGCGTTTACCATAGGAGCACCATACGATTACCATAATCACAAACCACCAAACCACCCCAACCCAACCCGAAGGCTCAGATTTACCCTCGATTTCCAGTGGGGAACCCTTACCCCCCCCCAACCCGAAGTTCGGGTCTTCGGGTTGGGTTGGGGTGGTCTGGTAGGTAGTCACATAAGCAACCAGTACGACTACCATCAGACAACCATGTGCTTACCGTGAGAAAGCCATACGAGTGCCATAGAAAACCCTTACGATTGCCATGGGAAGCCAGGGTCCTCAGGATTCTCGAAGGATCCCTCGGATCCGCAACAGTCCCTAGGGAATAATCGGTTCCCCAAGAATCCTTCAGGAATCCACGTGGATCCTCGGATCCTCAGCAACATGAGAGGAGTCTTCGGAATTCCTCGGGCCCTCAGGAATCCCTTGGGGCTCTTCTGACCCCCAGGCGCTCCTTGGAATCCCGAGACAATCTTCGGATCCGCAGGAACTCTTTTGGAACCCACGTGGCTCTTCCGAGAATCCCTGGGGCATGTTCTGATCAGGACTCGTTAGGGCATCCTTGTGAATCCTCAGGGTTCGCTTTTGAAGCCTTGGGAATCCTTCAGGAGTTCCCGGATCCTCAAGAATCCCTAAGGAACCCTCGTGGATCTTCAGGAATCTTTACGGGATCTTCGGGTCTTCAAGAACCATTCGGGATTCCTCTGGTCTTTTGGAATGCATCAGGGATCCTCGCGGCTCCGCAGGGATCTTCCAGGATTGCTCGGGAATCCGTAGGGGGAATCCCTCGGGAATCCTCGGTAATCCTTCAGGCGTCCTCGGATCTTTAGGAATCCCGCGGACTCCTCTGGAATCCTTTTGGGGATCTTCGGATCCTCTGGAATCCCTCGGGGATTTGTTGGGAACCTCGGGCCTTCAGAAACCCCAGAAGAATCCTCGTACCCTCAGGAGTCCAGACGGAATCCCCAGGGAACCTTCAGATCCTCGGGGATTTTTCGGGGATCTTCAGATCTTCAAGAATTTGCAAAAATCCTGGAGGGAACCCTGATGAATCCCAGAGCGTCCCTTGCGCAAACAGAGTAAGGCCAACCGTATGAGTATTATTCACATTATTACTGCGACGACGAGTACCACTACGATTGCTACAGCTACGACTACTTGTGCTACTACGACTATTCGTATTCCTGCCACTACGACTACTACGACTACTACTATTCCTACTACTACTGCCACTACTACTACTATTGTTATTGTTGTTGCTACTACTACTACTACTACTACTACTACTGTTGAAACGACTACTACTACAATTTCGACTACGACTACGGCTACTACTTGTGCTACTACGACTATTACTGCTACTACTACTACTACTACTACTACTACTACTATTACTACTACTACTACTACTCCTACCACTACTACTACTACTACTACTACTACTACTACTACTACTACTACTACTACTATTACTGCTACTACTATTACTACTACTTCTACTACTGCGACTACTACTACTACTACTATTACTACTACTACTACGACTACTACTACTACTGCTACTACTACTACTACTACTGCTATTGCTACTGCTGCTACTACTACTACTACGTCTACTTCTACTACTGCGACCCTTGCTACTACTACGACTACTACTACTGCTACGACTACTACTACTACTACTATGATTACTACTGCTACTGTGATTACTATGATTACTACTACTACTACTACCACTACTACTACTACTACTACTACTACTACTACTGCTACTACTACTACTACTGCGATTGCTTCTACTACTCGTACTCGTACTTTTACTACTACTACTACTGCTACTACTACTACGACTACTACTATTACTACGACTACTATTACTACTATTATTTCTACTACTACTACTAGTACTACTACTACTACTACTACTATTACTACTACTACTACCACTACTACTACTACTACTACTACTACTACTACTACTACGACTACTACTACGACCACGACTACTACTACTACTATGTTTGCGACTACTACTACTACTACTACTACCACTACTGCTGCTGCTATTGCTAACTACGGACAACTAACTACGATATTAATAGTCGTGCTGTTAATACTAGTATTCCTATTACTATTACCTTTGCTACTACTACTCCTACTATTACTAACAGTGGTTTTATTTTTCTGGCAGCTACTACGTATGTTGCCGCAGAGAACCCCCTAATCACAGTGTGTCTTAAGGTTATTGAGCTATTGGGCTATAGGACCATAGGGATACAGGGCTAGGGAGCTATAGGGCTATAGGCATACATATATATATATATATATTGAGAGAACTATAGGGCTCTAGGGCGATAGAGCTGTAGGGTTATAAGGCTATAAGATTATAGGGCTATTGAGCTAGTGTGCTATACGGTTATAGGGCTGCACGGCTATGGGGCCGTAAGGCTATTGGGCTATGGGCCTATAGGGCTATGAGGCTATAGGGCTATAGGACCACAGGGCTATAGGGAAATAGGGCTGCGGGGCTATAGGGCTATAGGCATATAGAGCTATATGGGCTCGAGGGCGATAGGGCTATAGAACTATAAGGCTCTAGGGCTATTGGGGTATAGGGCTATGGAGCTATAGGGCACTAGGGCGATAGGGTTATAAGGCTATGAGGCTATAAGGCTACAGGGCTATAGGGCTGTCGTGCTATAGGGCTATTAGGCCATGGGTCTATAGGGCTAAAAGGCTACAGGGCTATAAGGCTATAGGGCTATAGATCCATAGGGGAATATGGCTACAAGGCACCCGGGTATCCAGGCACCTGGGCACCCGGGCGCCCGGGCATCTGGGCATTTGGGCACCCAGGCACCCAGGCAGGCCGTGGAAATCGGTGGCAAAGCTCACCTAACCATTTGAATCCGCTAGGACCCCTACAAAGGCAAGGTCTGATTTGGAAACTACTCCTATTACTACGACTATTACTACTACGATTGCTACTACTACTACTACTACTACTACTACTACTACTACTACTACTATTGCTAGTACCACTTCTATGATTACTACTATTATGAGTACTACTACCACTACTACTACTACTACTACCACTACTACTACTACTACTACTACTACTACTACTACTCCTACTACTCCTACTACTACTACTATTACTACTACTACTACTACTACTACTACTACTACTACTATCACTATCACTACAACAACTACTACTACTACTACTAGTACAACTACTACTACTACGAATACTACTACTACTGCTGCTGATACTACTTTTACTACTATTCCTACTACTACTACTACTACTAATAATAATAATACTACTACTACTACTACTAGTATTACTACGATTACTACTACTACGACTACTACTATTGTTACTACTACTACCACTACTACTATTGCTACGACTACTACTACTACTACTAATACTACTACTACTACTACTACTACTTCTACTACTACTACTACTACGACTACTACTACGACGGCTACTACTACTATTGCTACTACTACGACTATTTCTATTACTACTACTACTACTACTAATTCCACCACTACTACTACTACTACTACTACTATTACTACTACTACGACTATTACTACTACTACTACTACTACTACTTCTACTACTACTACTACTACTACTACTACTACTACTATTACTACTACTACGACTACTGCTCTTACTGCTACTACTACTACTACTGCTACTACTTCTACTTCTACTACTTCTTCTACTACTACTACTACTATTACTATACTACTAGTAGTAGTACGACGATTACTACTACTACCACTACTACTACTACCGCTATTACGACTACTAATAGTAGTAGTTGCATGTTTACTATTACTACTACTTCTACTGCGACGACTTCTTCTACTACTACTACTACTACTACGAGTACTCGTACTACTACTACTACTACTACTACTACTACTACTACTACTACAACAACTACTGCTACTACCACTACGTTTACTTCCAATACTCGTGCCACTGCTTCTAGTGCCGCTACCACCTGTTCTACTTTTCCTACCACCATTACTACTCGTACTATTCGTACTACTACTACTACTATTACTACTACTACTACTTCTACTACTACTACTACTGCTACTACTACTCGTACTACTCGTACTACTACTACTACTACTACTACTACTACTACTACTACTACTACTACTACTACTACTACTACTACTACTGTTACTGTTACTACTACTACTACTACTACTACCACTACTACTACTACTACTACTACTACTACTACCACCACCACCACCACCACCACCACCACTACTACTACTACTACTACTACTACTACTACCACTACTACTACTACTACGACTACTACTACTATTGCTACTATTGCTACTGCGAGTACGACCACGACTACGACTACTAGCGTTATTGCTGCAATTACTACTTAACGCTACTTCTACTATGTCCTTACGCGTGCTGCGACCAGGAGTATCTGGATTATCGAATGTGGCTTTATATTCATACTTTGGGATGTGTTCATTTACTGGCGTAGCGTGTTGCACGTAGGCTTTCTGTTTTACGAATCAGATTGCCCGCGTTCTTCCACGGTCTTGGCATTCATGACCGACGGACGGAGTAGGATAACCAATGCGTGTTGAGCGCAAGACGATGGAGGCATAATGTGGGAGCAGACGCGGAGGGGTGAAGTATGCAAAGAAGGATGCGGTGGACGAGACAATGAAGAGACGTGGTGCCGCTTCGTCCTGGGGAACCGCATGGGGGGGGGTCGAGGTCGTATTGGCGCAGCCGCCGTGCTCGCTGCTGGAGGCCGAGGTTGGCCCGGGAAATTGTGCAGGGAGGTTTGGGAGAGGAGGCGAGAGTGGGTGGGGAGAGTGGGTGGAGGTGGGGAGACTGGGGAGGGTTGGGAGAGGAGCCGATGACCGATGGGACGGGAGAGGTGGAAAGGAGGTGGGGAGCGCGGGGAAGGGGTGGGGAGGAGGTGGGGAGAGTGCTGCGTGTCGTGGTGCGGACGGCCTCGCAGTCATCGTCCTAGTCTTTCGTGCTCATCGTGGCCGTCGTCGTCGCAAGTATAGCGCATTCACAGTTGCATGGGCGCCGCCGTCACATACCCCGTTACCCCCATCGTTACCATGACCCTCCGCCTTCGCCCCTCCTGCCCCCCCCCCATCCAGGGTGAAGGACGTGACCCCCGAGGGGGGACTTGCTTGATACATATATATATATATATACGTATGTGTGTATGCATATCTGTATAGTATATGTATATGTGTTTATACATATATGGTATGCTACGGGATGTGCAATATTGAGGCGAGCCTGTGCCACGTCAGACTCGTCTCGCGCATTTGGCCTGTAGGTTTGGTTGCGCAAGCCGATAGGTTTATCACAGGACCTCTGAGGGTCCGCCTCGTAGTCTGAGTGATAGAGAAAGTGGTTCGGGGCACTGTTTTTCGATGTTGAACCTTGGTTCTTCACTGCCGTGCCTTGAAGCATCACGGAGTTTATTTGTCGTACCCATTCTCTATGTCCGCAAGTCATCTTGGCGCCGCGGTGGTGAATCAATTGCACACGATTGCCCGCAAGAGTTGCCAACCGCCGCCGTCCTCGCGATCTTGTCACAACATGTCGCCGCACACATAAGCGAGAGATAATAGATGAAGACCATGAGGAAGTACGCGCATGTGTGTGTATGTGTGTCTTCAGTCGTTGTGGGTCACTTCCTGACCAGATTTCGATTAGGAGTAGGAGGAGGATGAGAAGGAGGAGGAGGAGGGGAAGGAGGGACGAGGAGCAGGAAGGAAGGTAACTATAAAGGGGGGGTTTGGGTAGCAGCTGGCTGCTTTGAGTCGGAGGATTGCAGGGGGTCTGAGGATGTCTGCAGAGCTATCATGCCATTCCCTCCCTTTCTCTAAGCGCAGGCTCCGCAGGGTGCCTCGGCGTGTGCTGGGAGGACATCACTCCTCCTCATCACAATTGCTCATCCTCGCCACGCTCCTCCTCATCCTCCCCTTTTTCCACCCCTCCTGAGCAGCCTTCTCCTTCTCCACCTTCTACCGTTCCCCCCAACTTCCCCCTCAGCCCCCTCCCCTCGCCCGCCATCCCTTCCCGACCGTTCCCCTCTAACCTCTAATTGTCTCCTCCAACGGTATGCGAGCTTCCCTCGCCGAGCCTGCAGGTGGAGCCAGCTCCCTGTTGGGGGGCACGAATCGCGTGAGGGCTTCACGGGATTGAAGCGGGAAAGGCAGATGGGCGTGCTCTTGGGGGCCGCAGGTGTAAGTGTGTAGCTCCCGAGGCAGCAACAACCTCACCAGCGCAACGGCAGCGGCACGCGGGGGGGGGATTTGGACCCAGGGGAGGGGCACCGCACCAAGTGTGGGGGGGGGGGGGGGGGGGCAACGCCAGCTGGTGATCCGGCTCTTGCGGGGAGGTGGCACCTTCCTAGCCGCACCGAACCCTGAAGATTGGCACCGCGCGTGCAGCTTCGGCCCTTGAGTCCGAAGTGATGCGCAGGGGCTGTGCTGCTGGTTTTAGGGGTGGCGCGGGGGAGAAGGCAGGATTCCCTGGGCAGGAGGCTCGCGGCGCCACGGGGAGAAAGCGAGGAGCAAACCTGCAAACCTCGCAAGGAGACTGGGAACCATCCAGGAGGCAGAGCGCTCAGAAGATTTGGGACGGCAGCGGTACACTGACACCGATTTTGGCCAAGCCAGTCGTGGATCCAAGATAGGTGTACACGCCCAGGGTGCGCCTGGCAGGGAGCAGTTCCAGTGCATAGTTGGCGTCCTCCTTTCCCAAATTGGCATCACACTTTCTTCGCAGTGCTCGAAAGGGTTGGCACTATCTGGTATCACCTGCTGGTCGCCAGGCATCGTGTGCCTAACAAACAGGCAGCGGGAAAATCGCTGGCAGATCACGCATGCTCGCGTGCAGATGGGTCCAGCGAGGAGGGAGAAGGGAGTTGCCAGGGCCACCTGCACGTCCTTGTTAGCAATGTCCTTGTTGGCTATGTCCTGGTTTGGAGGGCCCTGGAGCAGATGGGTCCGGCGAGGAGGGAGAGGAGAGTTGCCAGGGCCACTTATACTCGGAGGTTGATGGACCTCCTACCCTGACACGTCGATTAGCGAATTGGCCGTTTTCGGTTCGCGAGAGGGCGTCGCGGCCGTCATTCTTGCGGCTCCAGGTCCGTCGGTTTCGGTTCTCGGCCGTTTTCACTGAAGGGTGGTCTCCCAAAGGGAGGATTGTCCACCGCCGATATACGTCCTTGTCAGCAATGTCCTTATCAGCAATGTACTGGTTTGGAGGGCCCTGGAGGTGCTGAGCTACGCCCGCGGCGCCCTGGAGAACGGGTGCAGTCTGGAGGAGCCGCGGCCCCGGGTGCACGCCGAGAGCGAGGAAGGGGTGGAGCGGTAGTTCTCGGGAGAGGAGGAGGAGGAGGAGGAGGAGGAGGAGGAGGAGGAGGAGGAGGAGAGGAGGAGGAGGAGGAGGAGGAGGAGGAGGAGGAGGATGATTAGGAGAAGAAGGACAATGAGGAGGAGGAGGAGGAGGAGGAGGAGGAGGAGGAGGAGGATTAGGAGAAGAAGGACAATGAGGAGGAGGAGGAGGAGGAGGAGGAGGAGGCGAAGGGGGAGAAGGAGGAGGAGGAGGAGGAGGAGGAGGAGGAGGAGGGAGGATAATGGGGGTTGGAAGAGCCAGACCATGACGACGAGGAAGAGCCCGAGGATGGGATTGGAGGTTGATGTGGGTGAGGAGAACTTGCAGAGGGACGGCGGAGACCAGGAGAAGGACGATGAGGAGGACTTCCCTCGCCCACGCTCTCCCAGTATCTCTGGCAATTGACTCCCCGAGGAAGCTCAGACCTGGCTGCAAATGTCGCCTCGGGAAGCCTCCGAGCTGCCCGCACAAAACGAGGGAGGCCTCTGCCTCAGACCGGCTCCTTCGCCCCCTCCGCCTCGGAGTTGCGAGAGTAGGCACGATGGCGGAGGAGGAGGTGAGCACTTGTCGGAAGAGGAAAACGGAGGTGCAGGAGCGGCGGCAGGAGCAGGAGCAGGAGGGAGGGGGTGACTTGGGCAGGATAGGCAGAGGCATGAGCGGGAGCGCCAGGGATAATCCAGAGATTTATGCACCGACAGAGCCGTGCACTCCCTGCTGATATTGAAGACTGCAGGGTCGTGGATTGAAAGAGGCCTACGACCCCACCAGAATGATGTATGGAGGCCACCCGTTCGACGCGCCATTGCTCTGAATTCCAGTGCGGCCCACACCTTGTGGCCGGCCGATACGGCTGCGAGGGGCAAGAGAAGAAAGAGGAGGAGGAGGAGGAGGAGCAGAAGGAGGAGGAGGAGGAGGAGGAGGAGGAGGAGGAGGAGGAGGAGGAGTGTTTGCCCGTTTTCACACAGCGCTATGCTGGACTGTCCAGCTGCCCGCGACACGACCCGCCATCTTGCCAGCGCAGCATTCCGTGTGGCGATTCTTCGAGCAGCGCACTGACAGCCGTAACGTGTGGTACCTATCGTCTTTATTCGTTCCGGAGCTCTCGTAGTGGCTACGCTGACTTGGGCATCCTGCAGCATTCTGCCAAGCCCCAGCGAGGCAGGGGACATGGTGGCAGAATATATGGTGGGAATCTGGCATGGCTGGGGGGGGGGAACAGAGGGACGTGCCAAATGTATTTGCAATGCCTGGTAAGATCAACGGGCCCATCCAAGGCGAATGAACATTTCAGAAGGCAGGATGTTCCGCGTGAGAGCTGTATGAGAAGCCCATGCGTTGCAAGCACCTATATGACCCAACCCCGAAGGAGAGAAATTTGAAGAGCAACGCAGAAGGAGGACAGCGCTGGGTTGGAGGCGGCGGGGACAGGGCGTTGATCACCGATGGATCAGCGATCTTTGATTGAGGTTTGCAGCCAATACCGTAGCCTTTGCCTTCGCCGCTCAGTGCGGCCATTGAGAGGCCGCAGCCGCGCTACGGCGCGGGCGTCAGTCGCGCAGAGAAGCGCGTGAACGCGCGCGCCTACCCATTGTCCGAAGAAACGTTGGAGCCCCAAAGCAACACAACGGAATGTTCCCCCACCAGGACTCTGCCAGTGCATCCCGCCTCCGAACCTGGGTCGTGCGCTAGAGGCGCGTTGGCTGCATCGTGGCTTCTCCTGGGATGCATCTCGGAGGCCTATGTGGCTTACTTGGGGCATCGCAGGGTTTGCTGGGGGCACTTGAGAGCCTCTCTTGGGCTCCGCAGGGCCTCCTGGTGGCCTGTTGGGTTTCTTGGGGGCTTCTGGGAGGTTCTGGGGTTTTGCTGGCGATGTCGGAGGCCGTCTTGGGAGGAAAGGCTCCCAATGCGCGTTTGGTTTTGGCCTTCTGGGGGCTTTCTTGAAGGCCCTTTGGGTCGCATTGCGGGCTTCTTGGGCTGTATCTGAGCTCTCCGGCCGTCTTTTCGGGCAGTCTTGGAACGATCGAACGATCTCGGGGGCCTCTTGGGCCATTTTGGCTCCCGGAAAAGCAGGACTCGGAGTGATATTCTGGACTCTTCTTGAGGCGAGCCCGAGGGTCCGTCTTGCGGCAAAGCCGTGCCTCGTGAGGGGACGTTCGAAGTTTGTTGCAGCCGTTTGGGGGCCGCAGCGAGCACCCCTGGCCGTTGACGTCGCCCGAGGAACGCCAGGGCCAGGGCACACTTTCCCGCAGCGGTTCGTTTCGTTTGCCGCGTCTGGGCGGTCTCGCACGGTGGTTCCTCGTGCTGCTGGTGCCTCGCGCACGCCTCACTTGAAAGGAATATGCAGAGCCGCTTCTTCACCGCCAGTCGGCAGGTCCACTCTCTGGATCCCCTCCCAACGTCAGGCTCACCAGATCCCAGAAGTCGTGCTTTGTTCAACACCTGAGGTTCCCAGAGCTCCCGACCACAAAGTGAGTGTATTGGTTTCGTTACATGTGCTGTATGCCGCGGGAGTCGGAACGAGCTTCCATGGGCCCATACCCACGAAACGAAATTGAAGGTTTGGGTTGTTGGTTAAGGACGCCAGCGATCTGATTCGCATGCGCCTTCAGATTGTAACGACCCACGATCGGGCAGTATGCCCGAAATGTTTCCGAACCCCGAAACGCGTGCCCAGCGGCCCCCCAATAGAGCCCAACAGGCCCCTAATGGTCTCCGGCGCCTCCTTGTTGAAGGATGATTGAAAAAGTGATGTTGCGAACAGCGAGGACGTGCGTGAGACCCGCGCCAGCACCAGTTCAGACATAGCAGTGAACTGCAACCAGTCTTCAACTCAAGCGCCTGCGCGATGCGCTGCCGTGTTGAAGCGCTGGAATGATTCCGCGGTCGCTGGACCTCCACACGGAGACGGTTGCAGCGACCCCAGGCCACACGATGTCGCGAGGACGGGCCGCAGAGACAGGGACGCGCGGGCAGCCTTCATGCCGTACCGCAGTTTTGCTGCGGGGGCAGATCGGAGGCTTTCTCGTGGCGGGCGACGAGGATCAGGAGGGGAAAAAACACACAGACACAATTAATCGTCGATCCCCAGGAAAATATGCGAAAATATGGGAACTGGGGGGGAAGACAAAAACCCAGAAACTATGAGAAAATATGGGGAATATTTTATTTGTGTGTATTTATTTGTGTGTTCTGGGGCCCCTTTAGAGGATGACGACGAGGAGGGCCCCTTGGGCTCGCCCACCGCCTCCCCGATCGCCCGCGCAGGAGGCCGCGGAGGTCCTGGGCCCGTTCCTGCTGGACGCCAGGCCGTCGACCCGCGGGCTCCTCCTCCTCCTCCCCCTCTCCTCCTCCTCCTCCTAATCCTCCTCCTCCTCCTCCTCCTCCACCCCCCTCCTCCTCCTCCTCCTCCTCCTTCTCCTCCTCCTCCTCCTCCTCCTCCTCCTCCTCCTCCTCCTCCTCCTCCTCCTCCTCCCCTCCTCGTTTCCTCCTCCTTCTCCTGCTCCTCCTCCTCCTCCTCTCTCCTCCTCCTCCTCCTCCTCCTCCTCCTCCTCCTCCCCCCTCCTCCTCCTTCTCCTAATCCTCCTCCTCCTCCTCCCTCCTCGCACGTGCGAGGTCGCTAGAGCGGAGATTTTCTCGAAGCTCGTTCGAATTGTTGGGCGGACGTTGCCGCTCGAAGTGGACGAGGCGTCCACAGCGCACTCTCGTCCTCCGTCAAGGCCATGCGGATTGCAACACACGTCCGTGCGTTGCGTGTTGCATTGGCTCGTGTGTGCACACGCACACACCTCATATTACATTCGGCCGTGTTTTTTGAATTTTAAGCGCCCCCGGGAATTTCGGAAGCCGAAGGTGGTTTGCTTCGAGCAGCAGACTGTCTATTACCATGTGCGTCACGCTTTCACTCAACAGCCTTTTCATGCTTGGAGATGTGACTATTGTAAGAAGGGGGTCAAGAGCGACAAGAAGCGGCGGCATTTCCTCAATTGGGTTTGCTATGCTCGTGTGCCCGTGGCCCCTCGTCTGGACCCTGTACCAGTTGCCTCACTGAAAGTACCGAAGGGTAATCGTCCATTGCAAGAGCGGAGCTGGATCATCCGATATGTGGTAGCTGCAACAGTATGTGCTTGTTGACGACGCGGTCGCCGCTGGCCGTTTCCAGAATATGTTCACGTCCAAGGTGAACATCGTTTGCTTCATCGTGTGAAGGCTCGGCCTTGTCCTGGATGTGGTGAGCAGAGCCACTGTCCAATATCCAAGTCCGTGACAACGCTGCTGTGGATCGCGTCGGCGGAGGGGACGCAACCGTAGGTGTTGACACCGACTCTTGGGCGTTATCAGCGGGCAAAGCTGGCACCGTTGTAAGTCTGGTGAGGGTGGTGAGGTCGTCATGCCTCTTCTGAGCCTCGTCTGCCTGAGCGCTGCGGCGCTCTCCTGCAACCACCAACCCCGTAGCGGGTCTGGTACGTCAACGGGGTCGCCCTCGTTGGCGTCAGTATGCAATGTGGCCAGTTGCAGCTTAGGCACAGGAAAGGTGATGGCGTCGATGTTGTCGAGGTTGAAACGTAGTTGACGTCGTGAGTGTGTGGATGTCTGTGCAGATACAGCCGCCAGTGTTTTCTCTCGGATCCCGCACGTTCGGTCCCGTCGTCGGCCACGGCGAGATGCAGCAGGCGAGTGGTTCCTGTAGCGTGTTGACGGCGACCGTCCAGGGCCTTCGGGACCCAAAGCGGCTTTCGCTTTTGTCTTTCCTGGTCGGGTAACGGCCTCGATCGTTTCCACGCTTGCTGACCCGTGAAGGGAACGGGATTGGCGCGGGGACCGCGTGGCCCCCCCCCCCCAGACCACGAGAGCCCCGTCGCCCCCCGCGTCCCGGGGACACCGGCGAGAACCCCCGGACTCCGCGAACCCCGACGCCCCCCGCGTGGAGGGTAGCGGGAGCCCCCCGCACGTCCGGGAGAGGGCGTCCAATGGCGGCTGTCTTGGCTGCAGGTGCGACCAGGGTTCCTTCTGGAGGTCTGGGCGCCGCTCGTGAGGTGGGCGAAGCGGCAGCTGGTTCCCAGCTTGCATCTCTCGTTGGGGTCGGCGAGGCGAAGAAGCTGCGCTTGGCGACGTGAGGCCTCCGGCATCGATCGAGCCGCGGGCAGGTGCCATGCTTTGCGCACCTCCAGAATGGCGTGGCTGAGATTGGCCACGTCCTGTTGAGGGCCGTCCTCCGCGGGCATCTCTGCCGGCCTTTGATGTGCGCCTCGAAAGTCTCGAAATAGAACGGCTACCAGATCCGGTATGTAATGATCGACGCCGTTCACCAGTCTTGCAGCGATTTACCTTGTAAGCTGCGCATACGGCCAATTCTTGTCGCATCGACTCTTTTTTGCGGCTGTGTTGATTCATTTCGAGTCTGTGCATCCCGATGTTGGCCAGGGCACGATCACGAAGCCAGTCGTAAATGCGGTTAGGGTCGCCCATTGTTATTTTGCTGTAGTCGTGCATATCTTGCTTCATCCATGGATGTCTGCGAGTTTGTACCCGGAACAATGACTCGAGAATATTCGTGTCAGGTGGATCGCGGCATTCCATATGAATAATAGACGTTCGAAATCGTGCATGTTGTCATCGATGTCGGTAACCTTATATGAGCGGAGGATGACCCAATAGAGTTGTCTTTCCTTCGGCATGCGACCGGCTTTATACTCTTGAGCCTTCAGGTTCTGCAAGCGATAAAGAAGGTCAGTCGAGAGAATTGCCGATCGACCAGCGGCCAGTTTACAGTCGATGCTTTCAAAGCCTCCACTGTCTTGAAGATCCTCGAAGGTAGTGTCAAGCTGTTCAGCAACGCGGAGAAAGACGTAGGCTTTCGCAGGGCGCCCAGAAGTGCTGCCGAAGTTCTCCCTGACCAGTTGTTGCCACTCCTGCAGCTTCGTAATCCGTGGCAGCTGAGGAATTCGAACGGTGCCCGATTCCTTGATCGGCGTTGTGCCACCGAGAGAATACTGGACAATATTCAGAGATTGTACCGGTGGCTGTGGAGATGGAGCACGCGCAGGGGACATGTAGCGTGTCTGGGTACAAGCTGTTGCTGAGGCGGCTCCTGGTGACGTGCGTCTCGGCTGGCCTGTGCGGATCTTGCCATCGGCCCGGGCCTGGGCACTGTCGGAAACGCTTGCCTGAGTCGGATATAGCCAGGACCCCAGTTAAGGTGACCCGGTTCGTGGTAGGGCCCTGGAGCCCCTGCATTGGCCAGAGTCACTAAGCCAGGTCTGCCGTAGCTGGTGCTTTGTCGGGCGACGGCAGTTCCGGTTCGTGGAACGGGGCGGGGCGGCGTCCCCCAGTGCACATCGCCAAACCAGGTCCCACTGAATCCAGTGCAGCCAACGCCCGACTGAGGTTGCGCAGAAATGTGGACCTTCTGGTTGCTGGCGTGCGCCGTCCAGGCTCCCGTGGTCGTGAGTTTCTGCTTCAATGTGCTCTCCTCCCCCTTCTCTGCGTAATTCAAGCTCTGCGCGGCCCGCTTAGCTTCGACCGGAAGAGGTGCGCTCTCGACCCGCGAATCAAAAAAGAGTCCTTGCTGCAATCGTTCAACACTCTGTCGGAGGCTACTGGCCTCGTCTTTGGTGTCATAAGCTCGCTGCGAGTACCGATCCAGCAGGTGCTCTAAGTCTTGGAAGCGTCGGACGTGTGCTTCGCGCTCTTGCTCCCAAGGGGTGAGGAGCGCCTCTGCCCGTGCCAAGTTTCGGCGTCGCTTTCTTGGGAGACCTAGGCGCGCTGTGACTGCGCGTGGTTCGCCGCCTTCCTTACTTCGGCCACCTCGGCGACGAGGAGGGCGAAATCGTAGGCCGAAGTCGGGGTGCCCAGCTGGCCAGTCTGGGCCCGTACAACACGCAGCTCAGCCAGCGCAGTCTGAAGGTCAGGTAGCTGCGGCTCGACCGCGGAGACTTGGTCCGCAAGCGCTGGCGCGCGTCCCTCGGATGCATCAAAACGTTGAGCAATAACCAACACAGCATTACACAGCTTGCCGTGCATTTCGAACGTGGTAGTAGAATTCTCGAAGTGGAGGTTTGCAGATGTCACATCAGCGCGGTCACGGAGCGCGATGAGGTCATCGCGAAGCTGTTAGCCTAAAGTTCCTAGTATCTCAGTGGCAGGCGTCTGCCGCAAAGTGAGGATCTCGTCGTGCAAGGTCCTGACTGCGGCGGTGCCAGTGCTCCTGATGCTCACGAGCTGCGTCTCTATGGCAAGGAGGTAGTCGCGAGGCTTCTGGATGGCAGTGGAGTCGGCATCTTGGTATGACTCCACACGGTCGACTTGATATTGGGCCAGAGTCAAGATCGATCGATCTTCGGCGATCCGAGCGTTGACCAAAGCACAAGCATGTTGTATATCTTGGCGCAAGGTTGCTGTCTGGGTCGCGGTGTCCGCGACCGTCGCAGCAAGGCCCGACAATTGTTGGGCCTTGCATGTCTCAACCTGTTTTCTGAGCTCTGCCAATTCATTGGCGGAGGGCGATGCGCGTGGCGCAGGGGCGTCTCTGTAAATTCTTGCCTCCGGGAATGGGCCGGCGCAGGGGCGCCTCTGGGAATTCGGCCGGGAGCGTCTCTGTAAGGGGTTGTGGCTGGCGGCTGGTATCCCTGCGGTGAGACTGTCAATGGTACCGATCGGGGGCTCTTCTCGGACTGGTTGTTCCATAACGACCTTCGATGGCACGAACGCGTTGAGACACGGGGACAGAAGCGGGGCTCGAGGGCCCACGGGTGTCCCAACGGAGGTGTCGCGCGGAAGCGCCCGGAGGAGACGCATCATGCACGCCGCTGTTGGTGGTTCCATCGGCAGGAAAAGCGGAGGAGGAAGGCGGCGGCGCTTCCACCAGCAGGAGGATCGGGCTCGTAATATCCCCATGTGTGTGAGGGGTCGCATGCGAACTCGGTCCGAACCCTGGGGTGCACGATTGGCGCCTGTGTAGGGCTTGCACCCGACAGGAAAGATTGGGGCGTGTCCACGTCTGACCGTCGAGAGCGCGCCTGCTGCGCACGCCGAAGCTCTGCCTCAAGGCGGGCGTCGGCGCTGCCTTCTCCCGGTAGGGGGGGGGGATGGCGGTACCACTCCTCGTTCCACTGCCTTCTCCATGTGGCCCGCGGAGCCCGCGTGCCGTCGGAGGGCCGCCGCGCGCGGAGCCACGGGGCGCCCGTGGGTCCAGCGGCGCGCGCGGGGGCTCGCCGTCGGCGCGAGGGTCGGCGACGGAGCACGAAGCAGAGAAGGCTGATCACCTGTGCACGGGGGTCACGGCACGAAGGGTCGAACCTACCGTCGA